ATAATTATACAACTTTTCATTAATCCCATATAGGTAACTGTCCAATTATTTTCTTAATTGGACAGGTCTTGTTGATATGGGATTAATTAGGCAGCTATACAATTAATAGGAAATGGGATTTCATGCTCCCCAATCATGAAATAATTAGACTCGAAAAATTCCTCTGACTGCCAAATTGGACTCGGCCTATGGCCTCATCCAATTTTGTCAGTCCTCGAAATTTTCCTCTTCCATTTATTTCTTAATTGGACAGCATGGAGTCCTATTACATATACTAATTATATAATTTAGTAAATGGAAGTATCACGTTGTTTCCAATTTTCATCCACGTGCCCCTTTAAATACACCATGTAACCAAGCTTACTTTGATCATTGTATGGACATGCATTTGATTTATTAGGGGGGAGGGGGAGGGGAGGAAGGGTTATTCAAAATATGGTACCAAAACAATATCAAAATAAAATGCTTACAATTGTATTGATTCCAGAAGCAACAAATGACTCAAGTGTTTCATAAACCAAGTTCGCCAATGGATTGGGAAACCTGTCGTAGCAAAGCTTTGCTGTTCTGTCCATTTATCTGTTTGCGGAACAGAAAAGAGTGAAAAGAGCGAAAGACACAATTTTGGACTCAGTGAGGAGAATTCACTAAAGAGCCTTCATCGGGTCTAGTGGCATATTTAGTATCTCTTCTTCCCTTCTCGTATTCTGATCTACAAGGTTCTTGTCATTTAGGATACCTTTTAAATTAATAAGGATAACATATGTAAGAGTTGAATCCGGAGAACCCTAGTCTCCCCCACAGCCGCTTTCAGTGTCGTCACGCAACGCTTTAAGCGTTGCGTGACGACACTGAAAGCGGCTGTGGGGGAGACTAGGAGAACCCAGGCTTTTAGCCGTATGCATCCCGAAGGCCTCACAAGGTTTTCACACACAAATGGGTCCCAATGGGTGTCATCAAAGTAGATTACTGTACTTGAACAATGGGTTTTTAATTTCCTTGTTATGTAGAGCTAATATTATGTACTGAAACAGTCAAAACTATCTTTCATGTCAAATATTTCAAAAGCTAGTGCATAGTATAATGGATGGAGATAGGGAATAGCCAGGGATCCAGGGATCGAATCTCAGTGAATGCATTTTTTCTTAAATATTTTTTTTTCCTTCGAAAATAGCTATAGTTGGAGTGAAAAATCTAATAGAACACCTAAGGGAGGAGGGTGGGGATGACATAGGAACTCATTAGGTATTCAAGGTTTGTACAAGAAAAGTTAAGTGTGGTAAATGTGCTATAAAACCCTTGAATACAAAATAAGCTGGGTAATATGGGATATACAGTCCTATGAGAAACAAATAAAACCGAGTCAATCATGTTATAATCATAAAAATATATTTCATGTACAAGAATCATATAAAATATCGTTTCCACACTTGCTTGGGGTTTATGCAAAAGCTTTATAAGGAAAGCAACATATAATAGGAAATTAGCTATGCATTAGAAAATATTTTTCTATTTAAATATATTTAAATATACTTTATCAAATTATCGGACTAAAGTCGCACTGAACCTATTTAACATAGGTTCGGTGGAAGGCCAACTAAAGGGCCTACGTGGCGGCAAACGTCGAACCAATGTCGATCTTAATTCACTCCCCGATTGTTATTATAATTTTAATTGGACATGAAAATGCACGGGGGAACGCACGGATATTTGTTTTTCTTTTCCTGCTAATTGCATATCCTTATGCATCCTTATGTATATAGCGCTCGACCACAATTAAATCAGGCATTTATTTATATGGAATGCAGTACTACAAAACAGAAAACAGAGAATGGCATTGCACTAGTACTCTGCACTTTTTGCCTGTTTTTCTTTTTC